CCGCATCTCTGCTTTGCCAGCTACTCCCTGTTAGGCTCTGCCAAGAGGGGCTGCCAGAGAGAACCTGCAAGGCTGGAGGAGGGCACTATCCACCTGTCATTTTTCAGCTGAAGTCCTGGGCTGGAAATGCATGCTTTGCTCAAACCAGAGCACACACAAGCTTGAGTTGAATCTATTTAAGTGTGTATGCACTGATGCCCCCATGGACCTCGGTTAAAGCTGGAAACCGGGAGGGATCATGTAGGCCCATGTTGATGGGCTAGACAAATACAGTCTATTAACATGAAGACACTCTGGGTTAGGGGGCCAATCCAGTGGTCACTTATAGGTCCAGCCACACTATGTCTATTAATACTGCATGCTTTCTTTCCCCCTAAGCCTCCTTGATTCTCCTTTTCCTAAGGAATAAATGGCACCGGTAGCGATGACAGGCTTCCAGTTCAGACCCACTGTATCAGAGTGTTATGAAGGAAAAAGCCCCATTCTAGGAGTCAGGAAACCCAAGTTCCAGTCCTATACCTGTCACCAACTAGCAGATCATCTAGGGCAAGCCAACACCTCATCTTTTTGGAATTCATTTTTCTCACATCTAAAAAGGAGGGATATGGCTTATGTTCCTTCTTGCCTCCATTTCGCTTCCTCCTTCCCTCCTTCTTACCTTTTTTCTTACTTCTCTGTTTGTTGAATAAGGTAAACAAATGGATCTCCCAGGCCCTGTGCTTCATCCTATGATTCCTTCAGTTCCTTCCAGCCCTAATTGACTAAGTCAAGCCCCCCTTTTTGGATGAAGTTCAGTGAGTGGTTCACTCGGAGGAGCTGGGGATCAGAGACAGGATGGCCTGCGAGGGAACAAAGACTGGGCCTCGCCTCATGTCTCCTTGGATTTCTGCTGATCCAGCTTATCAGATCCCAGAGACCTGGCAAACCTCTGAAGTTCAGAAAGAGCCAAGGGGGAGCCAAGTCAGGCCTCCAGTTTGGCTTCAGATGCCAAAACTTAATCTGGGCTGTGGGAGCTAACTGTTTTCATATGAAAGAGCAAATTCAGAACATGAGCATGGACGTTCCTGCAGACGTCACAGCTTTGTGTGTACACCCTCTCTCTCTCTCTGTCTGACTCTCTCGCTCTTGCTTTTGCTGTTGCTGTCGCTTTCGCTCTCTCACTCTCACTCCCACTTGGCTAACTTTCAGGTCCATCTTCATCCATGGAAGCTGAGTTCCTCTGGCCCAGGCGCTCACTGGGAGCTCGTTTAAACTTTCACTGTCTGGCTCCCTTCTAGTTCTCATTTCCCCGAGCACAACCAAAGTGTGAAGGGACAACGGCCAAGACCCAGGGTGACTGCTCTAGGTGGAGAGGCCATCTGCAGCCTTTAGTAGCCAGGGTTGGGGCCCTCACTCAGCAGAGTGGCCATGGTCACCCCTGCGGCACACAGGAAGGGAAACACAAACACAAATATATTTCATAAATTGCACTTGTGCCATTTTAAAGCCAATATTACATCCTTTAAAACCCTGAAAATAAAAATTCAGCATGGAAAGACTGGAGGCTGCTCTATCTAATCAGTTTGGAATTGTGAAAAGTATTTCTGGATGGATGCCGTGACCTTACTCTGGGCCTGTTTCATCCACACCGGCAAATTCTGGCAACGTCCCATGGTCAGGGCACCACTCCGGAATGGATTTGCTCTTTAGCCAAGACAGCTCTTCTCAAAGGCTTTTTGGGCAAATGCAGAGGGCCGTCATCTTGGCAGTGAGCAGAAGGAGGCTGAGGAGAACCAGTGGTGGGTGTTGCCCTCAGCATTTGCTCACTGACCTTTGCTTATTAGCCATACTTAAGCTGGACAGAAAATTGTGTGGTGGTTTCTTTGGTGGCTACACCTAACCAGTTATTTTAACCAAGATAATTTAATATAAAAATTATTAAGTAAGTACTGAAGAACTGGGAAGGCAAAATACACCGTGAGTTTGCAACTTCAGGAAGCAGCTACCACCCCGAGGGTTAGGGGAACAAAGGGAAGAGGTTGGAATTAATAAAACTTAGAAACTTACATAAGGGGCCCTGTAGAGCTGCAACTAGAACCTCCGTGGTGAGGGTGGTGCTGCTTAGCTGGTGTTGGAGTCTGAGGGCAACAGAGGGGCCCACGGGGCTGGGACACAGACTTCTGAAGAGGGAGCACTGTTTGGGCACTGGCCTCTCTGAAGGGGTGTGATGGAGCTGGTTCTGTGAGTGTTGGTAAAACAGTAAACTGGATTCAGCTGATGTTACTAGAACAGACTGAAGACTGACAGGAACAGGAAGTTACAGAGGAATGCAAGTCCCTTCTCCCTCCTCCAGGTTTGCAGGCTCTCTCTGGCGCCCCCTCTTGGCAGAGCCTAACAGGAAGTAGCTGGCAAAGCAGAGATGTGGTTTGCACAGTCCCAGCCCCAGAATCACAAAGATGCAAATAGAGGGTAGGTTTGGCGACAAGCAACAATTGCTTAGAAACAGGCATGCAAATAATTCTGAGTAGGCTGATTTCTTTATCATGTGCATAGGATTGAGTGGCAAAATTGAAAGAACTGTGGATTAGAACGCAAGGACTTAATAAATATTAGTGATTACTCAATAGATATTGGTTGAATTAATTAATGTCCTTTGTAACATTGGATAAGTCACTTAATCTCTAATGAGTTTAGTTTTCTCTTTGCTAAGGATCTTCAGTCTTTAGAATTATGTAATTTTATTATATATGACACAAGAGGCACTTTGTCTGCTGTTAGAATAACTGAGGATGAAAAAGATGAAATACATCTGTTTATTGAATCCCTACTTATTTAACCTCCTTTTGCCTTACTTTTCTCATCTGTAAAATGGGAATGAAATAGACTCCTCTTTATAGGGTTATTCAGAGATTTAAGTCACTTGCAAAGTGCTTAAAGCAGTGCCCGGAACAGAGCAAACATTAAGTAACTTTTCCCTATTGTTATTACTTTTATCAACATCATTATTGATATTATCAAGAGGTAAATGGTGAGATGGATTGACACAATAGCCACAACAGTGAGATGGATTGACACAATAGCCACAACAAGGGACTCAAATAGACCAACTATCATGAAGATGGTGCAGGACCAGTGTCTTAGCTTGGGTTCTCTAGAGAAGCAAAACCAGTGAAGCATATATATATATATATAATATGTAATTACATACAGAGACAGAGAGACAGAGATTTATTTCAAGAAAATGGCTCATGCAGTTGTAGAGGCTGGCAAGTCCGAAGTTCATGAGTCAAGTGTTAGGCTGGAGGCTTCTCCTGACTCACGTAGCTGCAGGGGCTGATGAACCCAAGACAGGCAAGTCAGATGGCAGGCACTGGCTCATAAGCTGCGAAGGCCGATAAATCCCAAGATGGGCAGGCAATATAGCAGGCAGCTGGTTCAAGTTCCAAGAACCAGAGATCAGATGATGATGAGCTGGATGCAGGATCCAGAGCAAGCAAGAGAGCTTTTTCAGAACGTCCATATATATAACTGGATGTAGGCTACACCCCTGAGGAAACTCCCCTTACAACTGATTGGCTGATCACATCAGATCACATCAGAGAGGTGATTACATTACATCACAAAATGGAGGATGACTACATCATTACATAACTGCCAAATTACATCATTACATAACTGCCAAACCACCGAGAATCATGACCCAGCCAAGTAGATACACAACCTTAACCATCACGACTGGGTAACATTTCATTCTGCTGTACATAAGGTTGCCATGAGTTGGAGCTGACCTGATGGCAACTAACAACAATGACAACAAAAGAGAAGTGAAGAATCTGTGGTTCCTGTCCTTACACCGCTCACAAGCTAGGGAAGAGAGACAAGATACTAAAATAGTAATTGTGATTCAAAATAGAATATAGCTTAGTATCACAACAGGAGTTCAAAACTGGGGCAGGAGCGTGGAAGGGAAAAAAATGCATCCCCCTTGGGAATGTGAACCTACTTACAAGACTGAGCTTTTCCTGTACTAGGTGATTGTTGCTGTTTTACTCAATGCAGCTCCCTGAGGACCTTGCACATCACTGCCACCGAAAAAAGATGAAAGCCCAGAGTGGCTGATCTTGGGGTTTTTCTAAGTGGGAAGATCCCTGGGTCAGTGGTCTGGGGCCTTCTCTAGAAAGAAAGCAGAGGAAGCAGAGTCAGTGCTTCAAGAGAGGAAAGACTCTCTGCTCTTTCTCCCAGCTGCCCCGAGGATGAGGGGCAGGGCCATCTCATGTGCAGGCCCCAGTGCCAACTGGAAATAAGGGGCCCCTAGTTAAAAAATTATTAAGACTGTCAAAATGGTGACACCAGAGCTTTAAACCAAGAGTGAGTGAGAGCCCTTCTGAGTTCAAGGTCCTGTGCAATAGGCCCAATGTCCAGGCAGCCGGCCCTGCCTAGAAGGAACTACCCTGGCCCTGCCATGAAGGAAATGGATGCAATGGGTAGAAGCTGGGCCTCAATGCCCTCTGTGACCTCTTCTGACTCTTGTATTGTAATAATAGGTAATACTTACTGTGTGCCAGGCATTCCTCTAAGCATCTTATGTGTATTAACTAATTTATTCCCCCAAGGTAGATCCTATTACTACCTCCATTTTAGAGATAGGGAAATTGGGGCTCAGAGAGGTTATGCAAGTTGCCCAAGGAGTGGAGTTAAGTGGTGGAGCCAGGGTTGCCAGTCCAGTCAGTTAGGATCCTGAGCCCATGCTCTTAACAACTATGCTATACTTTCTCTTAACATGAGCACTACTTCCACAGAATTCTCCTCGTCTTCCCTGGCCAAGTATAGTAAGCCATGGAGCGAATAGGAATCACTATTTGTTCACTCCCCGTCATGCCCTGAATCTACGTTTACATTCTAACATCTTACTTTCACGTTGTAGTTTTGTTTTTTCTTTTTCCTTACATAAGTAGGTTACTTACGTAAAACAAAGTGGATAAAGGAAAAATTAAAAAAAAATTGTAATTCTACAAGTCAGACATAACCACTGGTAATACATTGGTATATATTCTTCTGATTATTGTCTATAGTTCTCCAAATGCATCATACTGCACTTTGTACTTAATGATCCACCTTGAAGAGTTTGCTCTGTCTCCAAATATTCCTTTACAACATCATTTTTAATGACTCATCAGTGTGCCATTATACTTATGTACCATAATATATTTATCCATTTATGTATTGTTGTGTGCCATTTTTGCTATTCAAAATAGTCCTGTGATCACATTTGTGTAGCTAAATTTTTGTGTACATCATCATTATATCCTAAGGAAGAATTCCTATGAGTGGGATAAAAAAGAAGGGGTCAAAGAGCAGATTATATTTACTTAACCACCAACTGCCATCCAGTCGACTCCAACTCATGGTGACCCCGTGTGTGTCAAGGCAGAATTGTGTTCCACAGGGTTTTCAGTGGCTGATTTTTTGGAAGTAGATAGTCAGGACTTTCTTCCGAGGCACCTCCGAGTGGACTTGAACCTCCAACCTTACAGTTAGCAGTCAAGCCCGGTAACTCTTTGTGCCATCCAAAACAAAAAAACCAAACCCATTGCCATTGAGTAGAACTGCCCCATAGGGTTTCCAAGGCTGTAGTCTTTACGGAAGCAGACTGCCACATCTTTCTCCCACAGAGTGGATGGTGGGTTCGAACCACCCATCTTTCTGTTAGCAGCTGAGCGCTTTAACCACTGTGACACCAGGGCTCATTCTGCACCATGCAGGGACTCCTATATTTACTTAAGAAATATAAAATAAAAAGAAGGCAGCACTGCCATCTGGCATTACAGCATTGCAGACGTTTTCCTGCTGTGCACACGCTGGATCATGCCACTAACACCCTCTCATGGTCTGTTTCATGCATTCACTCCATCTCTGTTCTGCCATCTCTGTTCTAGACTGTAGCCAAGAAATACCGCAACTACAATATCCCAGCTGAGATGACAGGCTTGTGGCGATACCTCAAGAATGCCTATGCCCGGGATGAGTTCACCAACACCTGCGCAGCTGACAACGAGATTGAGATGGCCTATGCGGACGTCGCCAAGCGCCTCAGCCAATCCTGAGCATGGCCATCTTGCCCCACCACTGCTCAGAAGGATTCAATCTCTCCAAAGGACTCCAGCTTCGCGGCCTACTCTTCCACATTGCCTTGGGGAATGTTTTTTTTTTAATCACAGCCACATCTTGCTGACATCATTGGAACTCCAGCCTGGTCTCTTATGAAGGTCAACACCATACCCTGCCTCATCACTCAAGAACTGGCCAGCAGAAACAGTAGAGACAGTCAACCTCTCAGCTTGCCTGCCCGATCTGGGTTCACTGTATTTGGGGTCAGTGTTGGAAAACCCACATTCCCAACAATTGTCACTGGCCTCTTCTGCAATATCAAAATTTCTTCTGAGATGAAATAGAAAAATACAACACTGGCTCCTTTTCCACACTCCTCCTTGTCAGTAACTCCAAAGGCCAAGGACAAATGCCATCTTCCTTTGTATTAGAAAGAGTTCTGCTGCTCTGTTAAGGGAGACAGTGGAAGTGAATGGAAGAGGACCAAGCTGGCTGTGGATTTTGGCATCTGGCAAACACACGTTCAGCCACTACTTTCTGACACACCTGGCATTGGGCACGGATGGCAAGACTGGGAAATCACTCCAGACACTCCATTCTCAATTTGCTGAAGTGATGGGCATGTTGCAATACTGCTGCACACATGGCCGACACTGATCCTGGTTTTCATGCTGTCCAGATCTTGCCAGGAAAGGAAATTAGCATGCAGTTTCAGACTGGGATGACTGGGAAGGTGAGGGTAGGGGGGGCAGTGTCAATGCCAAAAGGCCCACAGGGTCTACCAGCCATGGTTTGCTTGCTTAGTGGTAGTTGTTTCATTGGAGATGACATGCTTGGGTTTGACTATGTTTATCAA